CCATAATGATCCTATTTGTGTTGCTTTTGGAGGTCTATATATCCCTTGCCTTTACTCTTCCTTGAAATTTTACTAATCTGAATTCTCGGAGTCATTTTATCTTTCTTGGAGTCATTTCTGAAGGAAATAAGTTATTTGCTCAGGTCCTGTAATGACAAAATTCACTATCGCTCTACGAGAAATCGGGACATACAAGGAAGTTCTTCGTTCTCAGGTAGTACTGAAAACCATTGCCTATCTATTGGTAGAGCTAATTTCCTTAAATTTACCTGACTTATCTTGCGCTGAGTCGGGCTTTAGTATCGGTTGCCTGCTTCTTTTTGTTCAAAATTACTACATATAGGATGCCTTCTTTCCTGGGCTTGTTTTTATTATTTATTAGAGAAATTTCTAGTCTATGTCTTTCAATGTTATCGCTGTATGTTGATATCATGATATTGAAGTGATGCATAGCTAAACTATGATGTATTGTCAACACTTTTCAGGTAGAACACATGCTGAATGACCGGTTGCTTCAATTTGTGAACGGTGATGTCCATGAAGTTAAGGTATATTCACGAAATATTATAGCAAAATCACTCTGATAATCCTTTCAAATTCTTGCACGTTATGTTCAGCATTTTCTCTGAATTGCTTCGACTTATATCCACCTTTAATTTCTCTCACACAGGAAGCTCGTAAACGGTTTGACAAAGCTACCATTACATATGATCAGGTGCGTTGAGTGACTTCACAATATGTCAATTGATGGGTAAAAAGTTATGGTTTCGCAGCTTGTTACCATAAACATTCTGGCAGTTTGAAAAACTACATATTTATGTATGTGAATCTAAATGAAACAGGCACGAGAGAAATATCTTTCATTAAGGAAGAGCACACGATTGGATGTCGCTGCCACAATTGAGGAGGTATGTAAAAAATTTGAAGTCTTGGGTAACAACTAGTCACAGACAATCTTCACTTTTTTTTCTGCAAAAACTAACTTGGTAGAGAGACATTCCAGGATCTACATAGCGCAAGAACGACATTCGAGCAAGCCCGGTTTCATCTGGTAACGGCTTTGTATTCAGATGCTACAAATATATTACAGGGTATTCATTCATCTAACCGTACATAATGATTGCTTACTTCTTCCTGGCCAGGTTAGTGCACTCTCTAATGCGGAGGCTAAAAAGAGATTTGAGTTTTTGGAAGCAGTCAGCGGGACTATGGATGCTCATCTCCGTTTCTTCAAACAGGCAAGCTTTTTCTTGAAAGAAATTTTCAGAGAAAAACCACACATAATGGGTTCTATTCCTGTTTTCTGATAAGAACCACTTGATTCGCTGTCTCACGAGTGATTCCTTCTTTCAGGGATATGAACTACTACATCAAATGGAGCCTTTTATTAATCAGGTCTGATACTCTTAGCAGCACAATTTGCATTTATAGATATTTCTCTGTACCAAATCCTTTCTTATCCAAGCATAGTACAAGGTATATGTGTTTAATTGAAATTTTATGGCAGGTGTTAGCTTATGCACACCAGTCTAGAGAATGTGCAAACTATGAGATGGCATCACTTAATGAAAGGATGCAGGAATACCAAAGGCAAGTTGATCGTGAAACTAGAAACTCCAGTGGTTCTCCAACAGGGGATGGCATGAGACATAACTCAAGAAACTCACAGAAAGTCATCGAGGCCGTCATGCAATCTGCTGCAAAAGGAAAGGTAAGGAAAAATATCTTTTGTATTGAGGCTTACCCGTCAAACTGCTCTCACACCTTTATACTCTTTTGTTTTATATTTATCTGTTGATATAACTGTCCTTCAGGTTCAGACTATCAGACAAGGGTATCTGTCTAAACGTTCCTCAAACTTGAGAGGTGACTGGAAAAGAAGATTCTTTATCCTTGATAGCCGTGGGATGCTATACTATTACCGCAAGCCATGGAATTGGTCTTCAGTAAGTTGAAAAACGAAAAACAATTGTGTTTTTGATCCTTGAGAAAACGTATAGATCAGATTGGTGATGTACTGTATCTTTACTGAATCTTTGAAGCTCTATGTATCAGGGAAATGGAAGTCGCTCTGTTGTTCATAGGAATATGACTTCAGAAAACAGTCCTGGGCTGCTAAGTCGGTGGTTGTCTTCTCATTATCATGGTGGTGTGCACGATGAAAAACCAGTTGCACGTCACACAGTCAATCTGCTGACCTCAACGATCAAAGTAGATGCAGATCAGACCGATCTAAGATTCTGCTTTAGAATAATTTCACCAACAAAAGTTTATACATTGCAGGTATGTTTCCACGTAAAAAAGATCTTCATTTTCTATTGAAACTTACAGAGACTTCTATTAGGATTCAGGGTACTTTTTTAATTTGGTGTTCTCTTCCATCATCCCCGAATGACCAGAATTTTTAAATCGTTATTGATGTAGGCAGAGAATGCACAGGATCAGATGGACTGGATCGAAAAAATAACTGGAGTAATTGCTTCTTTGTTGAGTTTCCAAACACCTGAAAGAGCAATCATGGTTAGATTTTATATGGTATTACTGCTGATTATTTCTTGTCTGACCCATCTTCGCTGTTGACTAATGTATCCTTTACCTTCAACTCGACCAGCGACTTTCTACTGTGGACGGAGGTGATACTTTCTCTGCAAGTGATTCTGGTTCTTTAGCAGATCCTTATGATATCGAACAGGCAGAAAGTGGAGAATCCACAGTGGAACATCCCATGACAGGAGGAAACCGTTCGAGGTTTTCAGGGTGCTTGCAGCAACATGATATGGTAAAGACTGAAAAGCCAATTGATGTCTTGACAAGAGTATTGGGTAATGAGAGATGTGCAGACTGTGGTGCTCCTGAACCTGATTGGGCCTCTTTGAACCTCGGTGTCCTTATTTGTATTGAGTGTTCTGGTATCCATCGTAACCTTGGTGTTCACATTTCAAAGGTTTGCCATTAAAACTATACATCCAGCAAACATTTCTCTCTTTCCACAAAGGGGAAAGCATGAACTATCATTTTCCCATTTTAGTAGCTTTATAGATTTGGTATAAATTATCAAACCCTGTCGTGCAGGTCAGATCACTCACTCTTGATGTTAAAGTATGGGAACCATCGGTCCTGACGTTATTCCAATCGTTAGGTAATGTATATGTAAATTCAGTGTGGGAGGAGTTGTTGAACTCGGAGAGTAGATCTTCCAGTGCTAGTAGGTCTTCAGGGTAAGTGACTTAAGTACTTGTAACTGAGAGAAGAATGAAACTACTTCTTACATGTATTTACAGTCTTAAAATATTTCTATTTATCAGCACTCCCAAGTCAGATCGACCAAGAAAGTTGCTTGTAAGGAAGCCTGGTTTCAATGATCCCATTTCTGTGAAAGAGTTGTTCATTCACGCAAAGGTATATGTCACCCTGTGAGTTACTAAGCAAAGATTTTGGAGATCTCATGTCTATCCATTGCTAATATAATGGCTAACTGCAGTATTCAGAGAGGATATTTGTCCGCAAAGCAATAGACAGTCAGCATTTCCAGGCAGTTTTCCAAGAGATATGGGAGAATGTCCGTGCCAACGACAAGAAATCAGTTTACAGGCACATTGTCTGCTCTGAAGCAGATGTGAATGCTCTACGTGGACAAGCATCATACACTGTGTCTTTGCCCTTAGCAAAGATGATGCAAATGGAAGCGAAGGAGGAAACCCTTCAAGCGAAATTCAAGAGCATTGAAGAGGAGTTTCAAGAGAATCCAGAGGGATATTCTAACTCAAGAGGTGAGGGGGAAAGTATGGTCAGAGAAGAAACTTCAAACGACTGTTCTTTGCTTCACCTTGCTTGTCTTTCTGCGGATATCGGTATGGTGGAACTATTGCTTCAATATGGCGCAAAAATAAATGCAACAGATTCAAAAGGTCGGACTCCACTTCATCATTGTATCATCAGCAGGAGATATGCAATTGCAAGGTTGCTACTTATGAGGTAAACTCAATATACTTCTTCTTGAGGTTTCTTTGTACTGGTCTTATCTTATAAGGAGTTGAATTATAAGTCTGATACAATAATTCAATAACAGGGGAGGAGATCCAAATGCTGTTGATAAAGACAGTAACATACCAGTCAAATATGCTTCACAGACAGACCTCAATGATAGCGAACTGATTGCTTTATTAACAGACTCCAAAAGATGATAACACTGATGAATCGAATATGGCCATTTCATTAGCTTATCACAATGAAAGCAGAATGGTATAGCACTAGAAGAGTGTTGCTCGACTGAACTCTTTTCGCCTTTTTCCGCCTATTAGTTCGTTTCATATTCTTTCTTTTTTTTTCCCATATAATCAGCGACTTGTTCATGAAGAGCGTAGAGAATACATGTAGATTTTTTTTTTTTTGCTTGTTAGGTTGATATACTTGTCTATACTCTCTGGTGTACATATGGTCTTTTTATGGGTTGTATGTTCTGTAAAATGAAAACCTTTGTTTGGCTTCACTATGAGATCCGTTTTTTGTTTGTTTTGTGTAATGAAAGAGACAAAGACACCAATTGTGTTCTTCTGTTTAGAGATTTATGTTTTCAGACAGAATTTTTGGTTTTGCCCATTGAAGAACTTGCTTTAAATCACCAGCCAGCTTTTGATTCATCAATATGTCAAATCAATCCTTTCATTCATTTTTTTTTTCCAGTCATCTGCAATTCTGCATTATCATCTTTTGATAGTGACTGATGAATAGAGAACTTTATATAATTTGATCATCATAGTAACATTCAGTACATCAAATCTTTTATACATGAACATTCAGTATAGAATTGTCATTTCTGTTCTTGAACAGGAGTTTTCCGAGCATAAACATTTGAGGAAATTGCAGGATAAACAGTTCAGATGCGTCTCCCTTTCATCGTCAACTTCTGATTGTCAACATCATGATGGAAACTGCTGCCATGTAAATCAATGGGATCCAACATGTCTAGCTGAAGGCAAATCCGTTCTGGAGCAAATGAATTGGTCCAGAAGAGTTTATGAGCAGACACAAGTTGTTTCAGGAACAGCAACTCCAAATTCTTAATGGTAACTGAAAAATTATACTATGACATATCAGAAGATTGCGACTGCGTAGAGATCATCAAAAGTGAGAGGATAAAGCTTGTAAATAGATAGATCAGTTTAGGATCAATGTTACCTTTTGCCACGATTGCAGCCCTTCAGCAATTTTCAGGTTGGCCAAGAAATTTGCCGTAAACCAAACCAGAACCAGCAGACTCCTTTTTAGCCACAAAGAAAAAGAAGAAAGTTTATTTGCTTCTGGCTTTCCGTCTAAAAATCTATGGAGCTGCATCAGCTTCCATTCTCTGGTTTGAGGAAATGCAACTTTCATTGATTAACTCAATAACAGTCGAAGAATCAGGAATATACTTGAGTCGAACCATGTTCTCCATAACCTTCTCAGCTACCTCTATTTCACCCACTTTAGCAAAACCAGAGAGTAGAGCCCGGCATGTTGAAATACTTAGCTTACACCCATCATCAACAGCGTTCTTAGCAAACATTTGATCCACAAGCACAAGTGCTTTTGTCGTCATCCCTTCTTTTAGGAAAGCATTGATGATAACACTATACATTATGTTGTCTGGTTCAATTCCTGCAGCAATCGCCTCATCAAATACAGAAAACATTTCAGATCTTCTACCCATTTTATCATACCCGTTTAGAAGAGATGTGTAAGTTATAACAGTAGGAGTCAGATTAGCTTTCTGCATGTGGTGAAAGAGCTCCTTTGCAGCTTCCAAGTTTCCTTCCTTACATAGATAATCAATCATAATGTTGTATGTTACATCATTGGGCTTGCCAAACCTATCAAACGACCCATCCATTAGCCGATTTATCATGTCTGTTTTTAATTCTGTTTTTCCAAACTTAAAAACCCAATTGATCAAAGCATTGAAAGGGGCGGAACTAGAAGCACAACCCTTCTCGTTTGTCTCAAAGATGGTTATAGCTCTTTTGACATCGTTCAATCTGCAACACCCATCCACGAGTGTTGTGTACACAAAACTATCAGGAACTAATCCCTTTAGTTTCATCTCATCAAATAACCGAAAAGCCTCAGCTAGACCCCCAGATTTGCAATATCCATCTATAATTGTACAGTAAGTCACTGCATTCGGAGGAAAACCTTTACCTGACATTTCATCAAGCAGTTCCTTAGCTTTTTCAATTTCCCCAGATCTGCAGAAGCCACCAAGCAACATGTTGTATATGATAACATTAGGAGTCAAACCTTCTTGAACCATCTCATCAAAAATACTAGAAGCCTTTTGCATATTTCCCAACTTAGAAAATCCATCAATGAGAGTACCATAAGAGAATACATCAGGTGCAATACCCTTTCCACGCATTTCGTGGAAAATCTCTTCGGCATCATTTACTTTACCATTTTTAACAAGACCATTCATAAGAACAGTGTATGTTTTAGCATCCCCCAATATCCCTTGTTCAACCATGGATCTGAATGCTGAACATGCCTCTATTACTTTCCCCTTTTTGCAATACTCATTGATCAAACCCGTGCAAAGAACCTTATTTGGAATTACACCACATTCCAGCATCTCTTTCACATACTTATCTGCAGATGCAAATTCCCCTGCCTCTATATATCCACTGATAAAAGCCCCATAGGTGAAAGCATCAGGCTTTAATCCGTTCTCGACCATTTCAACCAGAAAAGACCTTGCTTCGTCCATTCTTTTAGCCTTTGAAAGGCCAATTATAAGGGAATTGTAGCAAAAGGTGTCTGGTGCGATTCCTTGTCCTTTCATTTCTTTTAACACCCTCACTGCATCTCCAAACCTACTTTTCTGGAGAAAGGTTTTGATCAATGTGGTATATATAACCACATTGGGTCTGCAACCACTTGCACCCATTTCCTTCACAATGTTATAAGCTCCATCGAGATCCCCAGAAGAACACATGCCTTTCACCGCTGTACCAAAAGTATATGGAGATATGACAATGTTCCTCTTTTTCATTTCAATAAGTAACTCATAACCCTTACATACATTCTTTTCTCGAAAGTATCCTTCGATCAAACTAGCATAAGCCCGAGCACCTGGTGTCACTCCTGATGCGATCATTCCATCAAAGAGAGCCTTTGCCTTCTCCATCGCCCCTTCCTTTGACATCACACAAATAAAATAATCATACATCTTAGGATCGATGCTAATTCCATGTGAAATCATCTCATGGAATAGTCCCTTCGCAGCATTGGCATTTCTACCCTTCAGTAAACCATCAATCAGTATACTATAGGAAACATTATCAGGAAACACACCTAAACTATCCATCTCTTCCAGCAACGATTTAGCATCTTCTAGACTCTTTCGCTTACACAACCCATCTATAAGTATATTGTATGACTGCTTCGATGCCAACAACCCTTTGCAACTCATCGACTTCTTCAGCTCAAGTGCTTCATCCAGATCTCCCTTCTTACACAAAGCTTCAACTACCAAACTATACACATTCAAAGTTGCCATCCCGAATTCTTCCTCGGTTTTGAGAAGAACATCTTTTGCCAACTGAACATTCCCATCCCTACAATGTGCAACAATCAACATCTCATAACTCTGAACATCAAATACTACATTTCTATCAACCATCCCCTTATACACATCCCAAAACAAATCCAGACGATTCCTCTTCAACAACGCATCCAACAAATGATTACATTGTGCCAAACTAGGAACCAAATCCAAATCCTTAGTGCTAGAAAACATAAATACAGCTTCATCTAAAAACCCTTTTTCAATGTATCCATCAATCAAGATCCCAAATAGAAGAACTCCATCATCACTCTTTCCCACAAACTCTCGTGAACATCTCTCAATCGAACTCCAAACCTCAGCTATAGGCCACTTCCTCTCAATCATCCGGATTACAACACTATGAGCTTTCTCAAAACTACCGAAATTACACAAATCCAAAGCGAGAAACGAAAACGAATCCAATTTCTGCTCCGTGACTTTTTGAGAATCGACCCAATTGAAAAAACTCAAAAGCTTAGAAGGATCATCGACGCGTTTGGATCGTAAAACGGAGAGAACTACTTCTGGGTTTATCTCGATTGAAAGATTCGAAGATACCAGAGTCTCACGCCAGCTCCCTTGGTTGAGAATTCCCGCTATTTCAGCTGATGCGTCGGAAAGTTTCTCAATGTTAACGGAAAACGACCGGAAAAGTAAACAATTCGCTCTCTTGACCAAACATCTCTTCCTGAACAACGTCGATCCCATCATCTCCGATACCGGAGATTCAGCTACCTCGTCGGAGAAGAGTTATTAAATCGAACTACGATTGTTTTTTAAAAAAGATTCTATTAGGCCCACAGATATTTGGGCTTTTGGGCCCAAACACTTACGGGCTCCTTGCATATCCGATGGTTTCTAGAGATTTTTTTTTTTTTTTTTGTCGGCCAATGGTTTATAGAGAATTGGTAGGTTTGTTTTGCATTTCGAGGAAATTGATTAAGAGTTGTATACTAGAGAATATTGGAAAAACTCACATATTGATATGTTATTATTTATTCATAGACACTGAATTAAATAATATTAGATAGATAGGTGTTTCGAGAATTCATATGGAGGGGTTATGGGAGAGATATGATGAAGATCCCCACTAAAGTTGAAATTCAAAAGGTGCATGAATGTTTACCCAAATAGATAGTGTGTGAAATGCATTGTTTGACCAACTTTCTTTCTTATTTTGTTTTGACATGAGAAGTGTTTTGAGAAAAGTCGACGGGTATGGGTAAACCATTAACTAATACTAAATCGCTTGTTTCAAAATTTAAAAAACGTGTTTAGTTAATTCCACAATATGTATATGTGGGCGTAAGATTACATGTAGGCTTGACGATTTCTTTGTAAGTATCAAATATAAACGTGAGGGGTAAAAAACCGTGTGAAGTCTTTGCAGTACTTTTTCTCATTAAATCAAATATACTAATATCAAAAAATATTTACAAGATACATAAACATTCTAATACAAGCATTTCACGTAAATATGAAAATTTGATACACTTTCGATGAATGAGTCGAAATTTTTTCAATATATTAAATTATTTCGCTCAAATTTAGATTTTAAAAAAATCAAATGGTTTGAGTTTTGATAAGTATTTTGATGATTTTCATTGTTTTGTATTAATTTAAAAAATTCTTATTATTTTTTGTTAAAATTCTTTAACAATGTCACTTGAAATCATAACATTTAGTTATTTATATTTTAAACTATAAAGTAACCAAAAGACCTCGAAAAAAAAAAAATGTCTACGATATTCGAATAGCTTAAGTAAGAGTCAAAAGATATTTTCAAATCACACTACTTTAATAATAAAATAAAATAGCCATGATTCAATAAGCCTTCCTAAAAGAGTCTCTTTAACCATTATAACTAGAGTTAATACGATTGGATGTTAGATAAAGCGATATACTATCGATGAAACTTCCGAACTAAATCTCAATTATGATAACATCGGTAAGTAATCATTTATAAGATCAAATTTGGATCCAAATCCAAGTTCACCCAAAATCAACTTTGAATAAACATAATAGCTAAGTGCTAACGTAAGAAGAAAATAGTATAGGTAAAGATTATTTATTATTAGATGTTGCTTTTTAGAATTGTTGTTACACTTCTCCAAGTTGATTAATCTTTTGCACAAAAATAAATAAAGAAAATAATTGTGTTGGAAGCAAGGAAGCAGTGACTAAAGTCTAAAGAAAACAACTTAACCAAGCACGACTAATTAAAATCATCTTAAGACGCTTTCATCGTCATTAGATACAATTAATTAATTATTGTTTATGACCCATCGACCCAAGTTGGCTTCGAAAACTAGTGCACTCCATTTTTATAATAGCCATTATGTTTAGCGATAATATAAAATAATTTGTGTTTCTACGATGGTCAAAGAAAACGATTAAAAGTATTTATTTTCTTAAAGCGATGTTTAGACAGAAATAGTATACTTTCACTGAGATAGGGAAGTTTTCCAAATTCTATTAGCAAACAGTTAAATTTTGCAAAAAGATTTTTTACCTTGTCTAACCAAAAGAATTACTATGAATTTTTATTAATTTAATTAACAATTTTTAAATAGGAACTGTATATTTATTTTAATTTCTAACTCAAGTTCAAGTTCCTATAGCCAAGATTTTAATAAATGGCATAAGCCGACAACATTGAAGCACTGTCGGTGGGGGAGAGTCCGTATTTAAGATTGTTACAGATAATTATGAAATTTTTATTTTTGTCGTATTTTCTTCATAATTTGACCAGATCAAATACAAATTGTTATGAAACTATTCTTAATTAGACGAACCAAATCACGAGGACAGGAAGCTCGACACGTCACACGTGGGCAAATTGATAAAGTCCGACTAATTGAAACCAAAAACAGAGAACAATTAATAAATATCAAATTGCTAATTTTATAATCAAAAGAAAATTAATTTTAAAATTTGATTCCAACGTTTATTAATGACTAAAAAAATCATAAGATTGATTAGTCATTAGAAAAAATCTAAAATTGTATACATCTTGGGGGATAAAGACGGTCCAAAATGTCCAGCACAAACGTATTCCATGCAGTCTTGACAACAAGCCATAAGCTTGATTATTTAATCAAAATGTTAATTGATTATGCTTTTAATCAAGTATGTTATCTCTAATTGACTTGAATGATAGGTTATCTTCGTCTATGGTGGAACCACTCGATTATTTAAGCATTAAAAATATTTATTTAATTTATCCTATGATTTTGAATAAATTGACGTACATGGGCGGCTACAGTTGTGTGTACGTGTATTAATGGGTTTTGTTTGTTTTTATTTGGATTTTTTTTTTTTTTTTTTTTTTTTTTTTTTTTGGATTTTTATGTTCTCAGTTTTTGTTTATATTGGAATTGGTGTAAGTATAAGGAAACCATTTGTTTTCAAAAATAGGTGATTACTTACTTCAAATAATCAAAATTTATGTGAGGAGCCAGAAATCATCAAATGAAGAGGCTATAGGTATATTCTAATGGTAGCTAGAAAAAAAAAAACATTTAACTCCTGAAATATTCACAACCATAAGGATCAAAGACTCAAATTTTGATATATGTTTGGAATCGATTTCAACAACATACTATAGATTCATAAAGTTTCTCGCAAACGTGGAAAATAGATGATCAAATGGGTCATTCCATAATTAACTAACTACTCACTCTTTGTATGTCTACCAACATCTTAATGTTGAGTTTTTTATATATCCATTCCATTCGAGATATTTACCTCTCAAATAATCCGTCGAAGATTATAGATTATTGCGAATATCATAAATGTGATATAATTAGGAAAAATATAAACTCAATGTATATATGAAATGTAAGAATAAACGATATTGGATAATCACTATGAAACTCTCGATCTTGATCGTGAGGCTTAGATTTTAGTCATTACTCTCAAACTTTACCGATGACCGTTCTAGACCTAGTCACATTTGTATGTCATAATTGTCTAATCTTCAATTGTTATACTGACCAGTTTTGAAAAGAAAAAAAAACTATTTTTACCAACATCGTGCCATGAATGATGCAACTATATAATGCGAAACAAATCTCCTTGAATTACAAGAGAGTTGTATGGAGACTTCTCCTTTCAATTTAGAACTGTTTAGAACTACATAGTTGATATGAATAATGTTTTATTCCCTTTTAAGGTTAATTATTGAAACGTTATTTATTTTTCTATCAAAATTTAAATTTTGTTTAAATTTTTGTCCAGTGAGATTTGAAGTATGAATCTTAGAAAATACGGCTTTTCAAATATCAAGAATTATTTGGTGATATAGATTATATTTTGTTTATGAATAAAAAAATTGATTATGCTCACAATTTTGTAACCTATTTAATATATTCAAGTAGTTAATACATGAAGTGTGTTAAAAATAAAATTACAGTTAAGTTAAAAATGGTAATCCAGTTTTTCTCTAAATTGGGTAACTAATCATAAAATTAGTTTTTAATTAATGTGTGGTTGTTAAAAAAATAAAAATTAAAATGGCAGAATTCTCTATGTTTCTTTACAGTTTTTGAAATTTAGTGATCTTAAAATGTCACAAAATCTGTAAACCATTATGAGTTTATTATCATCATTACATATTTTGTAACAATCTTTATATTAATCAAGTAAACTAATTGGAATTTGTGGCAAACGATAATACATGTGATTAAAGAAGCAGGTAGGAAAAAAAAAAAAAAAAAAAAAGAAGCAGGTAGGTAGGGTGCTTTATATGGCTGGACCGTTTTAAAGTTGGTGTTGTGTTTTTATTTCCAGCTTTAAGATATGATTCTCACTTTTTCTCTGCGAGAAAGATATTAAAAAAAAAGTCATTAACAACAAATTATAACTCCTAATTAGTTACAAAAAAAGTAATTTCATTCCTATCTTTTTATATCATAAAGCACACATAAATATGACGTCATCATCTGTAGTCTAGCCTAGCCCGTTTCTTCACCTAAACGACTGTCACGCAACGTGCGTGACTAGACGTAACCGAACTCGATAGGAACAAACTTTTTTATAAATAAAATTAATTTCATTTTTAAAAAGATTGCAAAAAAACAAAAACAAAAAACGAGTAATTCATTCTGGCTTTTACCTGCGAGACCCACGTGCGTTGGAAAGTAGACTGCTCACCACGTGGCGTGTGTCCATTCGTTTTCTGGATAACCGGCAAGTCACTCCAGCGTTATCCCTCAATTTGTAAAAACGACCGTAAATCAACTCGTTTGAATAGAATGGCTCGAGTCCACCAATCAGATCTCACGAGCCATTTTGTAACTGACCACTGACTAATCTGTAACCTGACCTCTTTTATTAATCGAATTGAATAAACTCGCTTGGAGTCCGTCACTTGGTGTCCTCAAGCGTGTGTGTCTCACTCTCTTAAGATGAAGAAGTGCGTTAATGACGTGGCATATTGGGATAAAGACCAAAGACCAGCTTTTTTTCACTAATTTAAAAATTAAATAATAAAATTTAATTTTTACTGTACTTTTAGTAAATTTGTGTCCTGATTAAGATTTAAGTAAATTTATTTCATAGTTTATAACTAGTAGCAGCTGAAACTTGTATTAGCTTCTAATTTTAAATTGAAAACTACGGTCCAGTTTTTAAATTATTGTTTAATGAAGAAATAATAATATATATAAAGAAAATAGTTAATTAAGGTAAGGAAAGTAGGGTTTGGTCTGTAGGTTAGGGTTCAAAGAGGGAAGAGATTAGGAGAAAGGAAGCATGAAG